ATAGAGATAGAGAGATAGAGAGAGATGGATAGAGAGAGAGATGGATAGAGAGACAGAGAGAGATAGAGAGAGAGAGAGATAGAGAGAGAGAGAGAGATAGATAGAGAGAGAGAGAGAGAGAGAGATGGATAGAGAGATGGATAGAGATAGATAGAGATAGATAGAGAGATAAAGAGATAGAGAGATGGATAGAGAGATAGAGATAGAGATAGATGGATAATTGATGTATGCATTACCTTGGACGACACATACTAAACACCAATACACGGAGGAATATAAGAATAAAAAGCAGCAGTGAGGTGATAGACTAGCTGTCACTCTAATATAGTGTCACTAGTGTAAATGATTACTGTGGATAATGTAAATATAAACGCAAACTGTGCAAAAGGCTGACAGACAGTAACATTACAGACATGAGCACTGAGTTTCCCCCCGCAGTCACTGGGAGGAGTTGTGTAGTTTGTATGTTATCCACCGATCACCAATAACATTATGACCACTGACAGGGTGCAGAGAATAACACTGATTATCTGGTTGTCATGGCACCTGTCAGTGGGTGGGATTATATCAGGCAGCAAGTGAACATCTGGTCCTCAAAGTTGACGTGTGAGAAGCAGGAACTGACAGCACACCTGCATCAGCTTCACCGTACGATTAAATACGATAATGTTGAATCACAGGTGATTTAGCTGATCAGGGGTCGTACTCGCTGCTCTGCCAGTTGTCAGGCTCTCGTTGATGAATATGTACCTGTGCTGTCAGCGTTCTGTTTTTAATGATCTTTCTATAGGACACAGCCGCCGCCCAAACTGCCTGTAGGCCCGAGCCACAAGTATGCCAATAACTACTACTGCACCAGAGACGGGCGCAGAGAGTCAGTGCCCGCCACTGTCGTTATGTCTTCACAGAAGGCTCTCACCGCTGGCAGGTAAATGACTCATTTCCATGTACGGTAACATTTTGATTATACTCTATTACAACTTTCAAATTTGACATCTTAATGTAGCTCGATTTGAGGTAAAAAAACGGACGAAGGCTGAAGTACTCATCCATTTTTTAAATAACAATGACCTGATGTTTGTTGATATTGAGTGAACCAGATACTGACAGATGAAGGGAAATGGATTTTATCTATGCTGCAATAAGGACCTGCCGCTCCTCATCTAGCTAAAACAATGAGAAATATCCAAATGTAGATTTATACTTCTGACCGACTGTAAGAGACTCACTCACTTCCTGTGGTTACTCGTGTTAAAAGCAATTGTTCTTGTTCGAACTTGAACAAAAACAGGACGTGTGTATTTTTTAAAGGGCATTCTTGCCATGTGAACACTTAAATCCAACTACGGATGTGTGTATCAGATTTTGCGACACACACACACAATATAGCTGTCTGATTACACCTGATAAAAGTGCTCCAGTGCTGAGCATAAGTTACTGAAATATTCTATTTATAATGAATGTTTAAGTACCTGTGGTATTTTCTCGACTCTTCCCATCTCTTCTAGTCAAGTCGCTGAGACCCCGAAGCTCCCAGTGACCCCGGGTGCTACATATAAGGAGCCATCCCTCTCAACAGACCAGCCGTACCTCTGAACAGCAGGGTTAAACCCCCTTCAGCATCAACAACCTCAGTCCAACATCCAGCCCTGCTGTTAGAGGCCTGAATACTTCATGTGTTGGTTGTATCCTGTACAATAGAAAATGTGAATAAAATGTGTTCTATTTAAGTTTTTAGTCCAACTCGTTATTCTGATTATGAACTGAACAAATGTGAAATGGGTTGAGATTTGCCGTGATGTGAAAGAGAGTTTGGAAACAGAGTGTACGGTGAGTGGAATAGCAGGAAAAGGCTGCTCCTTCTCCCCAGATAACAAGATGTGTTCAGGTGACCCAGTTTGGAGAAGTAAACATATCTGTATATATTTTATTCCATTTCTCTGCTAATAGATCCTCCTGAATGACACACACTGAACCTTTAAGTACAGTTGTTGTTAATTTCTATTGCCACTTATAACATGACATAAGGACGGAAACATATAACATTAATGCTTCATAATGAAAGAAGGATAACATGACCGCAGGACAGGGTGGCAAGTTTAATATATAAAAAAAGACAAATTAATTAAAAGAGTAAGAACATACTCATATTTCTTAAAAAACAAAAAAAACAAAAAACGTGTGTAGCATACTAGCTGCATGTGCAGGGACCTTTAAGTGCTGTATTTGAGTGATTGTGGCGTAGTGACGTTGAAGTGGCCCCTTGAACCTGTGAGGTGGTCCAATCAGCAACCGTGATAGGAAACACCTGTGCAGACATTGATAGAGACAGGTTAGTAGTTAAAGGTGAGCAGTTGTAAGACAATAGTATTATACAGTCAATACACTGAACAACCAGATCTAAGTGGGAGTATATTTCAAAGGCATGCAGTTTTTGTTGTTGTTTATTTGTGCAACAAAAACAAACACCGGCGTTTTGAAAAATTAAAAAAAAAAATTAACTTTATATTCTCCGACTTGCCAAATAATTAAAAGAAGCGAAATGTTGTAGTTAACACTAAATATTAACTAACTTACGATATGAGGCGGTATTAACGTAATGAACGCACATTGGGCTCGACCGTTGTTACGGCAACACGCTTTTAGATTCAACTCTTGCGTCATATCTCGGCGCCGCGTGCGATGCAGCCGTGGAGGACATCGAGCATGGGCCACCTTGGAGGTTTCTTTCTCCTCGTCGTCCCTCTAACCTGCGTCCATATCTGCGGTGAGTGGTCCGATGAGTGAGACCGAGAGGAGCTGCTCGCGTTAAGAGTGAAAACAGAGTTTTTACAGCCGAGCAGAGAGCTGTCGGTTTGAATGAAGTCTGCTCACCATGCAAAGTGCAGAGGAATTGGAGCTATGGCAAGCCATTTTAACATTTAACAGCTAGACTGGATATGTGTTGCAGATATCTCTAATTAGTTTTGCCTAGTCAAAAAGAACATTTTCAGATATCCGCAACTACATTCTTCCTATCCATAATTGCCATTTCATATATCCACAAAGACATTCTTCCTAGGACAAATGATCACTTTATTCATTTGTATGGGGTTTATCATTACGGATATCTACAATTCAGTTTCAGATATCCACTATGTGAATTACGGATATCTGCAATTGAATTGTAGATATCTGTAATTCCAGTTAGAGATATCTACAATTTGATTCTGACTAGTCATAACTCCAGTTCAAGATATCTTTAATTCACCTCAATTCAAGATATCTAATGTCCTTACAGAATATTTAAATTAAGTTTTTGATAGGCGAAAAAAAATAATGACGTTGTAATATTCTGTAATGGAATTTATGACTAGTCAAAAGACGTTGTAGATATCTCAACTGGAGTTGAGGGATAGTTCATAAAATTTAATTGATAGAATATCTATTATGAATTATAGTAGAATATCATTGAAATGAATTTTTGATTAGAGTATATTCCTTTGAATGGAACATATTGTAACTTTTCATTTCTGCCTTAGGTTCAAAATGTAATACAGATAACTTGAATTAGAATTTGACTAGGGCAATTACGTTGCAGATATTTCGTATATGCAATAGCCCGCATCCCATTAGGCGAGAAGCAGAGCTTTGTTGTTTCAAATCATCAAAAAAAAATTTCCAACATAGGAAACTTAGCACCTGGTTAACTGTTAGCTTAATTAATTAGTACCATGTCGGAGCAGCCAGAGGGCGAAGGAGTTTTTAATCGCCTTTTTAATGCTGCAGCCCGTGCAACACAGGAGCTGGCAGTGAGAAATGATAATGCAACGTTACTTTCCACAACAAGACGACTATTTCGCCGGCAAGTTCATCGAGTTCAGGGTAAGTTTTCTTTTTTAACATCAGAATAGGTTTTTGAATGGGTTCGCTAGCGGCACTACTAGCAGCTAGAACTACTGTTAATACACATCAAAAACGCTATTTTTAAAATAGTAAGACGGCTCGACGCAGCATGACACTTGGCTTGCAGTATTATAAGGGTCCCTACACATGAACTCGAGCATTGAGAACATTGTTTGTGTACAAAGTGTTGATTAAAAGACGTTTTTGTTAGCACAGGACCTAGCTAACGTTACCTCACGTTGTCTTTCATATAGTTCATATTCATATTCCAGCGTTAAAAACGGGTTTGTTTCCCTAACTTGTTTTGCTGGGTTCACGTATCGTGCTTCGTTACTGTAAAGTTATTTGTAGCATAATTTACCGGCCTGGCCTAATGCACCAGCCTACGTTTAACGTTAATTCGCCTGTAGGTATTGATTTCAGGTTGAAACGGTACCTAACAGGTAATCATGGCTTTTTACTGTGAACATAATAACTAATCTGAACTAAGAACTTTTTTTTTCTCATCTAAGGAAGTTAATGTTATTGCACTTCCATAGCATGTCAGCATTTTTATTAAAAATGAATTAGTGTGAATCTCTCTCACGCATGAATCTGACATCAACAATAACCAATAACCTACGGTAATTTTGCAAAAAATGCATGGCAAACATAGCATGTTGCCAATATTTGAGCCCCCCCAGGCTAATGAATAATGAATACAATTTGTGTCATGCTGGAAACATGTAAACATTTTACATTTTAGCCAAGAATGACTGTTGACAGTTATGTATTTGTGTTTACAGGAGGATCTGGTGGCCGCAGGGAAAACCCTATTTGGCAAGCAAAACTTTTCCTCCTTCCAGGGCCAGATAATGGTTGTCTGCCCCCCACAAAAGAACTGGATGAACTGGCTAAACTTGGATTAGGTAAATGTGAGATTGAAGCACATACGAATTGAGTGTTATTTACTTTTACACCTTATTATCTAATCTTCTTGCAAAGAAAGCTATGGAATGAGCAGATTTGAATTTTATGTTAGCTTGAGCCTGTCTGGTCCCATTTGTTATACTGTCTCTATATTGGAAAACATTTGGCTATGTTAAAATACATGTAGCATTTGTTTTAAAGAAATATTGTAGAGCAGTTTACTCTTTGGTGCATTTTCATAACAGTTTCCATGTAGCCATTTTAATAGTTAGTTACACCTATGCAACACTTTCTCATGCCAAGGCATCACTTTTAAAGTGTCCAGAAATACCTCCCAATCAATCCTTTTGCATCACCTATCTGAAGTTAGTCAATGGTGGTTATGGTTAGTGTGAGGATCTGGGTGGTGCATTCAGAGGCTAAGCTACACCATATATTGTATGTTAATGGTCTTTCACATATTATGCCAAGATGCTCAAATGTGTGATGGCCTTGTGATTGAAACCAGGCTCTTTCTTCTCAGTCATATGCAATTTTCTTAGGAGGGTAGGGTTCATTTAGTTTTAAAGCTGTACATTTAGTAGAAACACAAATGATCTTAGGTTAACTGTGGTACATACAGGTCTACTTTTGGGGTTTGGCAACACTACGATTATGTCTGAAAATATGACAACACAGTTTGGATGCCTTGATTTGTGAAATTTATTGTCTTTGAAACTGGCTTCTCGAACATTGTAGGAGTCGGGGCAAGATTTCTCAGGACTGCTAGGAGTCCTGAAAGATCTTGTGTATAGCAACTAAAGAATGTGTTACTTTGCCACTAGGAACAGATTATTCTGATGTTTCCATTTTTAGGAAAACCTGTGCATGAGTCAACGGAGGCCGGACGCACAAAGTCAAAGATCGGGTTAAACTGGAGTCTATCTGAATTGAACAACTTTGTTTGCCAAAGCTACCCTCGCTTCAGTTTAAATTTGGTAGGCTTCGAATTGGCAAGGACAGGCAAAGGACGCAAGATCCAGAAATTACAAGTTACTTCTGTGACGGAACTAAAAGCAGTTGTTGGCAAAAGCAGACTTTACATCGTGCCACGAGCCACTGTCTTGCAGGTATGAAATTATATACACAGGGATTTATATCATCTACAGTGTTCTCTGTAATGTCTATGCCTATCACTGAAGTTACCCTCTCTACCCTCAGGTAACATCACCACCCTCTGCTATGTCCCAGAATTCATCCCCACCACTCGCAGCTCCAGCAGTAGATGAGACCTCACAAGTGGTTTCAGATCAGGTCCATATTAAAATGATTGCACATTGTTAGTGGGGTGTCTGTCTGTCTTTTGCTGAAGGAGAAATCATTTGGATTTTCTGTGTACTACCAGGTGGCATCTACATCCTCTGCCATATCCATGAATTCATTCCCACCACTCTCAATTGCTCCAGTACAAGATGAGACCGCGCCTGTGGCTGAGAGTACCCAAGCTCAAAGTGTGATTGCAAATCAGGTAACCAATTTTGACACCGTGTAGAATCTATTTTTTAAGCATTTATTAATTTTGTGTGTGTACTATTTGATGGTGATTTGTGAGTTTTACTTTAGGCTCTTCAAGAATGGCAAGCAATACGTGCCCAGCAAGACCAGGAGTATAATGAAAGTTTGTTGGTGGATCAGGAGAAGGTAATACTTCCAAGTTCTATTTATGTATGATTTACATTCTCTTACAGAATGCATAAATACTTTTAATGTGGTCTTCTTTTAACAGGAGAGGAAGAAACTAGCCTATCAGGCCTGTGAGGAAAGACGTGAAAAGGTTTGTGTTTGTAAGATATTAGTTTGATAAACTAGCTGAAGATTTTTTCTTATGAGAGTAATCACATTTCAGGCTATTGAGGCAAGACGTCAGCGAATGTCTGCATGTGAGGAACCCTCAGATGGGGTGTTGATCAAATTTAAATATCCAAATGGACACATCAATATGAGGAAATTCAGCTTGTCGGAGCCAATCCAGGTGATGTGTGTTCAGCTTGAGAAAATATCAAGTGTCTTCTCAGTGGTTCAGTGGGTTGTAAAACTTCACTGGTGTAACACTGTCTCACATCTTTTTAGGTCTTGTTTGACTTTGTGGGACAAGATGATATTGCCAGTGAAATCTTTGTTGTGCAAGAAGCCACATCATCAAGATCAATTGAGAGCAGTTCCTCCGGGTCAATAATGGATCATGGCATAAAAGCATCCTCAACTCTATATGTACTTTGGTTTTCAAATCAGCATGTACAGGTAAATGTGTGTTGCGTTTTATTTCCTGTCTCAAATGAAAACGGAATGTGTTTTTGTTTGTGCAAGCTCATGTATTGTGCATGTTTGTCTTCAGGAAATTCTCTCAGATCAACAAAATGATGGAGCTTATGCCCTACACCATACATCTCATGGTCAGTCACCGCTGTGTGAGACCTCCTCCCAGCCAAGTCT